CATTGCAAAGGGTCTTTCCTTTCAGGTAACATACTTCAGATTGCCCATTCTTTGCGGCAATTAACACCGATTTAGATAAATGAAACTTTGCAAAATCCTACATAGGATACCGTAGCCATTTACGAGGTGATCTATACACCTAGATGAGATTTTTGTCGCTGAACCATATAAACATTCTTTGAACGGAGCCACGAAGCAAAAGACCTTTGGGACACAGTAAACATTCCATCTGCTGCTATTCATTGCTCGCTTGATAGGTTATCAGCTAATGATGAGAAAAATCAAAAGATATCTAGAACATGGAGTACGACAACCCACAATGGGTTGAAAGGCCCACCAGGATACAGGTTGCCCAACTAAGACTCCCTCAGGAGGGTAACTTGCCCATCAGCTTATTAACACGTTGACGACATCGCGCGTTTTGTGCTTTTGCACCTCGTGGGACAAGAGCGATTTTGCGAGCGCAGCCGCCGCCTCAAAGACAAACGTCCTTTCATCGCAGGATCCACTGACAGTAGGAAAACGAAATAAAAAATTGGTTCAGGAACATTGAACGATATTCATTATATGTCACGCTACCTGAATTTCCCTGAAGAGGTCAAAAAAAACTACAGCTTTCAATACCAAATATATTTGAAATAATGATCTTAAACGACACCGACAACTGATATTTCAATGATATCGCTCGCGAAAACGCCCACACATGGAAAAGACGACAAATCTGACATTCATTCAACATCAGCGAAACAATCGAATAACCGTAACACGAAAACATAGAAAACACGTACACAATGCAGTGCCAACGGAAAGAAATCCTTCATAAAATTGACAGCTTGACCAATGATAGATTAATTAATCAATAAGATGCATTTACTCAGCTGGTGCAAGTGGATTTTTCAAAACAAGGATCACCGAGTCACCACGGAGGAACATCTTTGAGATGAAACGATCCTTTGGAACCGCCTTTGCCTAAAATATAAGAAAAAGCTGAGAGTCGCATAGAAACTCTTTTCTGAGCTCAAACGGCTTACGAAGGACTCAATAGGTATTACCACAGGCATTGAAATTTTATGATGGAAGCGACAAATGCCAAAACCAAGAGGATCACGTTTGTGAAACTCGAAAAAAAAAGTTCTCGAATGCAAAAAAAAATTGGATTAAGTCAAAATAGCATAAGAGAAAGGAAATCAGGATCAAAGTGAGAGAAAAAACTTACCTTTCTTCCCTGTCCTGGTATGGTGCTCCGTCAACATTTCTTTACGTTTTCGAGAAACGCTATATGCAAATGCCTAATATGTTAATAAAGCTAGCGAACGAAAGAAACTTGATTACCTCGAACATGAGCGCTTTCAAAAGCGTAAATTTCATGTGTTAAGGATATCGTGCGTAGAGGGTGAAACCGAGGATCATTTTTTTCTAAGTGGCCCTGGAAATTCTTAAAGTATATGGGAACAATGACTTGTGCTACGATCACCCCTGGTGGTGACCAATTTTGCATTTCTCTGGTTTCCACTTTCTTGCGTTCATATATAAATCATTCACTGAGCCAAAACCTTCCATTATGATACTAACCAAAGATGAGAGAGTGTTGCAGAGTATATTGAAATCAAAAGCAAACGTTTCGCGCCCCGTAGGAAGCTTTTTGCCCTTTTCCTGACAGTCCCAGAACCTCTCAGAAAATTATCATCAGTCGAAAGCAGATTAAAACATGAGCTCTACCTGTAACAATACTGCTCCGTCCAGACCTGTTCAATTTAACGGTCCAAGTGCAAAACAGAAAATTGAATAAGATGGCACATTAATAGAATCATATTATATAATTCACTGCCGAGCATTTTATATCCTGTATTTTTTGCTCCGGTAATTCCGTATAAGATTAAGGACGGTACCATCATTATTGCTCTAGCAAACAAATGTACGACAGCAGCATTGATAAAAAAAATTCAGACAGACCTGTCAAAAGCCTTAACTCTGCCGAGAGATTTCTTGTGTTCTGCATTGATCTGAGAACCTGGAAACAAATCTTAGTTTTCCAAACATGAAAATGTGAGAAGAGCCACCTGAGCATTATTTTTTACAGAGTTGTTGAGAATAGACAGAGGTCCGACATTGAACTCTTCCTGCTCTTTCGCTGCTAGTTCCTCTTGTGTCATTTCGGCACGGGGTTTCGCCATTCTTAAAATGAGAATTTTCCATATGCGGTTTCCCCTCTTGGTAACAAAAAACCACTATATCACATTCTCACACGCAGGATGAAAGAAAGATACCTTGCATTGAAACATGCATTCATGAAGAGGTTCGAAATATAATTCCATAAATCAATCGGGACATTGATAAATGTAAAGGAATGATTGAGAATACTTTTAAATAAATTTCACAGTAACTAACTCATGATTTCGTGGACCCACAAGGATGCTGCCACGATGGGTCCGAAAGGACACCACGACGCCCACCCATTTTGCAATTATCTCAAGAACTCATATGTCCAATGGAAGGATGAGGCGTGCACGTCAAAGCCGACCATAGCCATAAAATGCCCAGGCCGTCGGTTCCCAAAACTTTGCATCCCCTACTCTTGCCTACGTCATCGAACGTTAGTAGAAACATTATTTTGAGTAAGTCCCCGGGATTGCTTGCACTGGCCAGGATTACCCAAATCTCACATACCGTATTTGTTGAGACATCGTATTTTGGTGAGATATCGTACTTCGGGATATCGTATTTGGTGAGATTTGCGTACTGCATTACGAAGGTGATTCGCACTTGGGAGTGTGGGGGTCATAGGTTGTACATATGCATGGGAAAAATACGTGGACAATTCAGACTATTAAACGCGCGCTACACTTTTAGAGTGTGGTCAGATTCAAATCGAACCCACCAATTCGAAGTGAAGAAACACAAATGCTAAAATGGCATTGACCAAAAAAAAACCATGAATTTTGAGAGATACGATTGGCTAGCTTGTTTGGGAAATTATCCTTAGGTCACTACCACCTTTGTTTGGTTTCCACAATTCATATCGAAAATATATACAGGGTGCGCCAAAATTACGGAGAATTTCATCTCTCGTCTATTACGTCACGCATGAGCGAACAATTTGAACTGTTATTCACAGATGCTATTTCTTCTGTCCTAGTTTTGGTACTGTGGTGTAGAATTGCTCATGCTTACCTTGTTCAACCACCAAAATCTATGGTAGCTGCAGCGGTTGACTGATACTGACACCGTCCCTAAATCATTGGACTCCGACGTTGAGGGTTTTTGGCACGCGACAATTATCATCGTTTTGGTGTATACCCGAGCACTATCAATAGATGCTCCAAGTAGTACAGGGGACAAGGAGCTGAATGCAGTCATTCTGGATGAGAAGGGCGTGTTTCTGTGGCGACCACGAACAATCTAAGGATTGTGTGCGATAGAATTTGCAGGTAGTTGACGCGCTGGTTTCACTGGATGTCACGAGAGATAGGAATCAGGGGGCTCTTTTGGACTTATCAGAGCCCATTGCTATCCTGAGTTTATTTTCACTTTGAAAATCGTTGCTGGGCCTTCCATCAAGTAGGAGCTCCCGTTTACGAGGCAAGGGTGGTTCAGTACTAGTGCAGCATTGATGCAGAACCGATTTTTTCGACTTTGTCGGCTTAAACGGTGGTAGAACAGCATTTCAGATCTGAGCTCGATAGGGTACGCTGTCGGATCCGTTCTAGAAGCTGAGGCTTGCATAAAACACATTATGTCTAGGGATTCGTTGAAGAAACCGCTCTAAAATGAGCTTGACGAGTCCTACTCGCCACATTGCGTGCCACAGTCGATGGTTCCTCGATGTTTCTGAGGACCCGTATAAACACAAACCAAGGAATTTCAAAAATTGCATGGATGTCGACGATTCAGAATGGGACTGTGCACGTCACTGCATTTTTGTTTTCAAAGAATTGCACCTTGCTCATCCTAGGCAACTCGAAGTCGCTGTCTCCGTAATTTTGGCGCACCCTGTACAAATAACACTGGGTGCATAGTGAATGGCATACTACGACCAAGAAAAAATAAAAATATTAATGAAAGCCTTAGAAACTCACGTAGCCATGATGCTCGCAAATTTTCTTTTGTATTGACGAACGACTTCCTGAAAAGGGTAACTACACGATGAAAATACAATACAATATTTAATAGATCACGCGTAAATTGCAAAGAACCGTTCATGTTGCGGGAAAGCACTTTCCACAAGGTTTTCTATTCAAAAACTGCTCAATGCTAATTCTGAGCTGCCGCTTAAACTGCTTAATGCTAAGTCTGAGTTGCCGCTTGCACGTGTGGGAGAGTCACTCCCTAGAACTAAGTCTGAGAAGGGAAACACCTTGGAGAAAATGAAATTGCTCGTCCAGGGTGAAAATCGTGTCGAGGACGTGGTCCCATCAGTACGACCCCCCTCAGATCGGGGTCTTGATACGACCCCTCTAACTTTGATTTGATGTGAATAAGCGAGTTCCATCAATGTACAGCAAAGCATTCAGTTGCAGCGCGGTTTATCCGTGGGTCAGATTTGCCGAAACCCCGCTCGAAACCGTCGAAATCTACACTCTCGATGAAAAGGTTCCATTCCCCCATTTCATAACCTTTGGAGCAGTATGTGGTAGGGTTAGATAGAGCTGGATTTGCTACTACCGGGCAATATTGAAATTGATCTAAATCTTTACACTCGAAGAGATAGGGTCTCTCAAATTTTGTCGAGGGAGCGTCGAGGATGCTGAAATTTTCATGCGAGTTTTTGCCACTTAAAAGGCAATATCTCTCTAATTTCGTAAGATCCTGAAAAGGGAAGATAGTTTTGGAAAGCGGAAGGTTTGCGCTTTCTGATGGTCTGTTTAGCTTTCTTCTACATTTTCTAGTTGAGGAGATATTTGCGTCGAGGATCTATCGAGGATGGATCTCGGCCACCTAAAAAGCCGCTCCCTTCTTCACCATTGCAAGTAATTCGTTGGCAACGCTCGAAATGTGTCTAGAATAAATTCTCCCAACATAAGCAACAAGAAAAGGGGCAATCGTCATCGTCCGATCTCGTCAGTATAGGCCATGCATCCGACCTCCACTCAAGTTGTAGAATCTATTGAAAGGTGTTATACATATGATGATGACCTGTTGACAGAAACTGTATTGTAGTAAACACATTTCGTAACTCCTGTAACCTAAGGAACAGCTTCATTTGCCCAGGGTCTTTCCAGAACTATTGTCGTTTTTGCGACAGCGTCCCTAACAACAGTGTCATTCTCAACGAGGTATTGAGGGCGAGGAGCGGGCGGTAGATAGAGGAAATGCCTTCGCAGCGCGTGTGCACATGTGACCCTGTTCCTTGCAAAGATGCACTTTCATTCTTTGTACTACTTTCAAATACTTCCTTCTCGAAGGTAGAGGGACGGAGCGACTGAACCTGCAAAGAATATTTTATATCATGTTTTCTCACATATCCTTGTTTTCTGCTGCGCTCACCCTATCTGCACCATGCCACTGACGTTACTGACCCCCAAGAGTACGACCCCCCATGACCCACCCTGACAATACGACCCCCTGTCGAGGATTTCCTCGACCGATATTCACCCTGGGCTACACTCCCCCTGGCTCGGAGTTATCCCAGCTTTCTGGAAAAAACTGCATCACGATGCCCCCCTTGCTGGAATAGACCCAAAAATTGGATTAGTTTAGGCGATATAAACTGTCGTACCATGTCTTCCTTACTCGACGACACTCTAAAAAAGGAATGGCGGGTACCCGAAATGGCTGTCGTGATTAAGTTGCCGCAATCACTTGAGAAGGAAAGCGAAGCGATATTTCAACAGCAATTATGAAGACAGCAATTCAAGTACGGAAAACGTACACACTAAGCAAAGCTCGAGGTATGTATGAAAAAAGAGCGAAGAGAGAACGTCAGCAACCAGGGGCCGTAAGGTATGCTTCCCCGAAGGGTTAGGGGACGAAATTCCTTTAAATTTTCTCTGTAGTCCCAACTGGGATTGTCCTGATAAAGGGCCTACATTTAATATATGTGTGTAGCTTAAAGTAAGCATGCATTGAAAATAAAGAAACAGTATCGTTCAAAACAAAAAATTTAAAGGGACTTTCGTCCCCGCAACCATTCGGGGAACC